GGCCAGTTGCATGCAGGACCTTGATGTTTGGTTGATGGAATGGATATACACAGGATGAATACACCAGTTGTTTGGTTACATGTTTCTTTGCCTGCCTGCTACATCAGCTCTCTCTCACACAAGCCACGACGCGCGCTCATCCTAGCCTGGCCCGGCAGAAACACAGGATGACTTGCGTTTCTGTCGGGCCAGGCTCAAGAAGGCGGGTTGCCTGTAGGTGGCCTGACCCTGGCAGCCATACATCGCACCAAACACGAGATTCCTACACCGGTGGATGCATGCATGCGGGCGTCAGGCCAACCAAACACTCCCCTATTCTCTCTCTCAGAGTCAAGGTAACAAATAGCGGAGCGGGTCCGTAACGGATTGACGTCTACATAGCGGATTGCAGATAGCGGGCGCTAAGTTCTAATAATATTATCTAATAATCTCGCATAATTTAGATATACATATACCTTAAATAATGACTTTCTCCAACCCGCTACGTCATAGCGTTAGCGGTAAGGGGCCACTGCCGCTATTGCGACCTCTACGAATGCTATTGAGTACCTTGCTCAGATTCACAGAACGCGCGTGCTCGCGCCCCCATGAGCCAGGCTAGGAGGAAACAGAATCCATTCTCGTTGCCTCACAGCCAGGCTTGACAGGGCTTGCTACATGTCGCAGGCCAGGCCCTATCGTGTGTGCAGCGAACTAATCGCTACCGACCAGCATCTCATGAGCCTGTGCTGGCTAAAAACGGCCAACCAATCACGCCCTAGTTGTCACCATCTGCGCACTGTCAGCCAAACGACCAGCACTTTCATGCCGAAGCTCTAGGCAGCATGGAGTGTAGTCCACCCACCCTTTTGGTCATCATTGATCACAATTCACAAGGCAAAGTAAGCAACTTCAAATATTATCTCAAATATTTACATTTTCATCGACCATTGCTAATAATTTTGTGGTTCTTTATTGTTTATCTAGATTCTAGGGATTAGGTTATTTGTGTTTTTTCCTCACATTTATGAAAGCAACTAAATTGGAATATTCTTGTGGGTGCTAGGAAAAACATGGAATTTTTTTTCAAAAGAAAAGCAGAAGAATTCATGTTGTCCAAATGATCAAATACGACCTAGGCTTTATGCAAGTAAATTGATGCTTACCATGCTAATCAGAGAGAGAGAGAGAGAGAGAGAGGGCGAGAAGGGAATGCCAACCTTGCACATGCAATTTTCCCTGTTCATAGATGGGGGGGGAGAAAGTCTAAGAAGGTTTCATTCGCAATGATGGTTCGATGATTTTGGAAGTTGGCTTGAATATAATGAGTCTGAAGATAGAGGATATTGTTTCTATTGTTCCTTGTTCACGGAAAAGAAGGATGCATGATATAATGCATTTGTTGGTGAGGGTTGGAATGGTTATGATAGGAAAGAGCAGCTCAAGTTCCATGTTGGTGATGTTGGTGGATCACCTATATTGCAATGAAGAAGTGTCATGATTTTCTACAGAGAAATCAACACATATATGTTGTTATGCTTAAGAAAAGTGATGCATCTAAGGAGGCTTATTTTACTCGACCGAATGTATTGATACTGCTAGGCTACTATTGAAGCAAGGCTTGTCTTTCCGTGGCCATGATGAGTCGAAGGAGTCTTTGAATAAAAGGAATTTCTTGGAGGCTTATGATTGCTAAGCATAACATGATCTACATTCAGGGAAGGCAGTGGGTATTGCAGATGATAGTTGTGTGGATGGCTCATGAAATCCTAACATTATGTAGTATTTTTGCAAATGAAATTCTACAGGGATGACATGGTTTGCATGCTAATGAGTCAACAGATAGTTTTTTTTTTGGCAAAGAACATATAGATGTGGTCTTGAGGTATGTTGACAAATGTAGAATTTTTGAAAGAGATGTTTGTTGGCTTTGTGCACGGGGCTAAAATATAATGTGAGGTGGCCTCGTTGTCGCAATATACCTTTAGGTGACGGACAATGCGTGAGTTGCTGGTTGCCTCAAAACAAGTTATAGTAATGGCGCTAGTAATATGCAAGGTGAATTCAATGGGATGCATCATTGATTATAATAGAAAGTGGTTCATTGTTTTGCTCACCTACTTCAGTTTGTTGCTGTGGTTGTTGTGTGAAAGCATAAGGGTATTAGCAATTTCTTAACCATGATTTACAGCTTATTAAATGTAGTCGGTCGAACAACCAAGAGAAAGAACATGATTACGGATATCAATCATGAACAAGTGACAAAAGCCTCAGGTTTGAGCAACTTGAAACTGGAGAGGGTTAAATCAAGAGTAATGTCTTCAAAGACTCATAAATTTATAACATCTATCTCCCTTTCTGGAAGGTCAATGGAATTTTGAACATTTGAACAGTTAGTGACAGTAGTCCCGGAAAGCATTGCCCTTGAATAGTTTTGCCACTTGCCAGAATATGTCCTCCAACACAATGCTTTGTACTGACTTAAATCTCTCTACCCATTTTTACTGTGCTTGAAATATTTTGATAAAAAAGGTCTGTATTGTTCCTTAGAAAATTTAAATTCAATTAGAACACAAAAAAACTATCAAGGCTTCATCATGCAGATTTAATACACATAATGCACTGTAGTAGAGATTGCAGCCAACTATGAATTTGGGCTCTTATCTTCATATATACAAGCTCTACCAACCTGGTCCCAAATTTCTTCAGTTAACTTACGAGATATTATGCTCTACTACACAACTCCAATTTACAAGCGCTTGGGAAACATTGGTCATACAGAAAGATTGGAAGCAGGAAAAGAAAATCACACCAATGCCCTAACATGACCACAAACATTGATCTAGAATCTACACACTTGTAATCACCTAAAATAACCTGGGTCATCAGCACTTGCATCAACTAATCACCTGCACAGTTGCGCTGTGCTACACTGGGCATTTGAGCCACATCAAGAAAATTCCAGTAAGCAACTGGAATTACTTCTGGGATTCTAGTCTAGCATGTCGCATCCCGAAAGAATTCAGTAGGGATTTGTGGTGGACACTGCTTCTTTGCAACAAATTTGTACTGAGGAAGGAAAGGGAGAGGATCCCATTAGTACTATCAAAAGGGCTGTTAACTGAAGAAATTTGGGACCAGATCCAATTACCTTATGTTGACTGTACTTTTCTATGATTGCTGGAAGGTTGGTCCCAGAACCAACGCTGCAAAGGCGATGCAATGCCTTTACACAGTCGCTCAACTCGGACGGCTTGTACTGTGTGTAATGAGCAAGTGTGGAATTCTGCTTCCAATTGACAATGAGATGTGTAAGTTAGCTCGCAAGACATTTCACTAGGCAACTGCTATAGAGATGGAACAGCAACATGATTATTCCACCTACCCAAGGATACTTTGTTGGCTGTAGTATAAATCTCGCCAAGAAAATAGCCGATGCAGCTATTAGTGATGGAGGGTAAGAGAGTAGATTGTACTCCAGTAGTGATAGCTCAGCAATGTAATTGGCAAGGAACTCGAGATGCAAAGCAGGATCCTGTACAAAGAGAAATTGTCAGTGAATCGTTGTCATGTTTGTAACTTAATAGGAATTCCTTCCAAACCAGAAGCTGACTATATAGCAGTACCTCGTCACACGCTTGCGCAGCACGAGCAAATCTCCTATTGTAAGGAAAAAAAGAAGAGTTAGTGGTAAGTTAGATTAGTATAATCATCATAAATTTTACTAAAATGAAATAGAACAGAAAAGCACCTCAAAAAGCACTTTGCTGTAGGTGCTGTCATTTCAAACTTCAAGTATTTCAGTACAGAAGCTTCCATATCTAGAACCTGTTAACGTACAAGTTATTTAGTGACAATGACAAACAAGGGACTATTCGATATGGTCTGCTGTATTTTTTTTTTAAGAATGATAGGAAGTAAACATATCACAAACCTCATCTCTGAAGTATGTATTGTCTGTTATGTAGCAGAATTCTTCTACTTGGGGTGCACATATCTCCTCATATTTTCTGAATTTGAAGTTTCCAACATGTCAAAATCAGTATGCCAACGTTGTAATGATAACTGAAGATAATAACTCAATGAAATAAATGGAATGAGAAGCAGAATCTTACGCAGCTATAAGCATGCTAGAAACACCAAGTAATTGCAGCCGTTGGCGGTTAATTTCGTTACCAGAAAGATAACGGTCAATGTAGTTAACTGTAAGGTACAAAGTATCAGGAACAAGACGATATTCTTCAGCAACCTGCATGAGGGAAAAATAATGAATACAACGGAAAGTTAACAAGATTGTTCTTTAGGCTTTCTTATTTATATCAGAAAAAGCTTACTTCCACAAGCCAGTCTATCAAAATTGCCCTCATGCTTGGGTTGATGTCTTTTTGAATTGTTTCCATGAAATCAGTTGATGGTCTTTTCTTCGTCTGCCAGAAAGTAAAGCACTATTAGTGGCAATCAAGGAAGAAAAAAAGTTTTCTAGGACTCTTTGACGTATGTACAGATCAAGTGTAGCCCAAATTTCCTCGGAACAAAACATAGACATTCCTTCAATCAAATCGAGTTTCATTAATGCGCCCAATTATAAAACTTCACATAAAAAGAATCAGAAATTGCACCCACACTGGTGAACTGCAATTATATATGATCTAACACACTTAATGCAAGCATATTACAGCCTAGCTTATTTAGCTGCATCAATTTAGCTATTTGGCAGTCAACCCAAAATTCCTTATGTTCAGTGCTTAAGTGAAACCATTTCGGCACCAGAGTTCAGAAAAGAATGTGTCACCTCAGCCTCCCGCAGGTGCATGTAAATGTCAGAAGCCAGAGTAGCGCACAACTGTGGGTCCTCATATTCATTGTCAACATCACATATGCGGTCAATTTCCATTGGGGCAATAACATTTTTCTTCCACTTATTTTCTGCAAAAGAAAGCAGGCCATACGCAACTGGATCAACAAAAAAGCATAACAAATTACACTTAAAAATGCAGATCTTAATATGCATTTCAGCAGACCTTCGACATCTCTATCCTCTGACATTCGCAGATGTTCATTTGTCCGTCGCTGCAATGAAGCCAGCATCGAGGAATCGTGATTGTCTATGTACTCAAAGTCGGGGCTTTTCATGGAGTCGCAAGTCGACATCGTCTCATCAATCGAAACAAAATCTCCTGAGCGTCCAGGAGACACCAAGCTGGTGCAGGATACCAAGGCCGGAGCGCGACTTGGCACATCGGCTGTGGTAGGCACTTTAGGAGGAGGAACATTATGCTTCTGTGTTGCGCTGCCATGGCGTGACACTAGTGGAGCTGGCTTGATGGAAGCTGACTTCACAGCTGAACCCCGAATGGAGCTCACACTTCGAGCACTTGCCAAAGATGGCTTCTTCAAGGGTACCGCTGAATTCAGCTTCTGCATGAGATTTGAACAAAATGAATAAATCATTTGAAACCTCTGTTCTGTTTGGGATCTCCACTAATCAGGTGCACAAAAATAATAGCAGGACTACAGAAGTATAATATAATATTGACAAGAGAAGACTGCAAAGCAAACAAAAACAAAAAGATTGCCACGCTGCGAAAACCAAGGAACTTTCTTTCGAAAATGCCATAGAAGGTCTAGCCTTTTGACCATGACCAGAATCCAAGATTTCAACCAATATAAACAGTATAGGAGGGATGCACACGTGGACGTGGTGGTGGGGACTCCGGACTCGTTTGTGACATTGCAACAATCTAGGGAGGGGCTTAAAGGTCCTCCTCCTCCGGCAACGGCTTTGGAAAGACCAAATCCTCGTGCCTGCGTGTCCTTGCCTTTTTTGTTCACGCCAAATTCAAGTGCAGCCCCATGTTCTGCAGGCAGCGAAGGGAGGGAAACTCCCGTTTGAAACGCGGAGGGATCCAAGCCGCACGTCCCGTCTCATCCCGGGGCTGCGGGGCCGCCCATCAGCTCAGCCTCGCGGTCACGGATGGTTTGGGTTTAAATCGTTTCGAACCGGAACTGCGCCCCTTCCAGTTTCAGGGTTTGCAAATGCAAAATTCCAGTGCGCACCAGCACCACTGCCTACTGCCTAGCCCCTACTGTCCATCTCATCACAATATTATTTGTACTCGTACATACAGTGCACACATTCGCCCCTTGAGTCTGCAGCACAGCAAGAGAAAGAAGCGTTGCAGGTTTCTCTGTTTTTTAAGATAACAAAAAAGCAAGGGCTCAAGTAAAGTTGCAGTACTGACTGTGAGTTATAGTAGAAAATCACAAAATTTGTAGGATTCAGGGAACGTTGAAGAGGTGACCCCCAATACAAACAGGACAAGAACGTATTCAGGGAATGTTGGAGAGGTGACAGCCTCTCAAGAACGGGAACGCGAAACCAAATCAGCGTATCTCCTACAGTAGCACAAAAAACCCCAAACCTTGCAAAGATCTCTTAGCAAAACGTAGACTGCATTTGTAAATAAAAAAATCCCCATCCAAGAAACCGCAAATGTCATCGATCCATCTCTGAAGGGGAAGGCACGCCCGATTCGAACCATTCAGAAATCAGAAATAGAAACATTTGAAAGATTAGCCCATGCCCATGCCGATCCAGGAATCATGGGTCCGAGAAAAGCACAACGAGTTCCGCATGAAATTCCCCCAATCCCGCAACGATCCTTGAGACCTTGACGGGTAGAGTAGAGTCGTACATACCGCGCTGGTGGTGGGTGGCGCGACATTCCCAAGGCTGCCGCCAACGACAGCCCTGCCCCCTCGTGCGGCGACGTTGGTGATGTTGCCGAGCGCCACGCGCTTCTTGGCCTGCGCGGCGGAGGACGCCGCCGACTTGGGTCCCCCGGCGCTCTCCGCAATCGCGGGGCGCTTGGCGGTCGAGGACGAGGACGAGCGTCGGGAGGCGGCGACGGTCGACATCGTGGGTTTCAGCGGCGGGGGAGATCCGCTGGCCGAATCCCCCTCCTCGGGCTAGAGCTACGGTGGTTTGGGGGGAGCGGAGGAGCGGGAGGTTTGGGTCCCGACCCGGCAGGTGGCAGCGGCGAGGGGTAGAAGGGCGAGGTCTGTTTATGTCGCCAGGGACATTAGGCCGTTGGTTGATCCACAGCAACGGCAAGGTTTTGAAATTCAAATAGCTGCCCTGGATTGACATTGGTAGTACCGTTGTCCATTCTTTTTTTTCCCTAGATTGACGTGGTACGATTTTGGTTCTGAGGTCCCTGCAATTTATGGGCGTCTGTTGATGTTTCATAGCCGATAACTTGTCACGGGATATCCGGGGCAGTTTGTTCGGGCTTCAGCATATGCAGAACTCGACGGTAAACGTAAAAGACAGTCGATTTATCCTGGTTCGGGCCCTCAACCGTGATCGAATAATAGCCCTACGTCCAGTCAGCGTTAGCCTTTACGTTGGATTGATCGTCCAGTGTTGTCTCTTCTGTTCTTCTGAACTCCCCTTCCGACCTCTCGATCTAAGGAGCCCTGTCCTCCTTTATATAGTCAGGAGACCAGAGTCCTAGTCAGTTTACAATGTAGAGTCCTAGTAGGATTATAGGATAGTATTACTACTAGGATTACATGGGAGGAATCCTAATCAAACTATATCTCCTCTCTTCCTTGCGGTGTATCCCGTGGGTCCCGCATCGACAACGTCTTTCGGCTGTCTTTCCTTATAAAACAGGTTGCCAGCGGTTAGGTTCTTTCCTCTCCGTCTTTCATGATTAACACAGTAGATGAAAGTAGAGAATAGATAGACACCAGATAGAAAGATTATTCTTGATTTCTCTCAATATTGGTAATTACAACATAAAGCTCTCAGGTATATATAGTCCTGCCAAGGCCTAAAAGTTTAGTAAGAGCCCATATACAAACGGACTATGATTATGATTTCTTTCTCTCCTTTCCTTCTAGGATCGAGTCCGTATGTTTTACAACACTCCTCCTTAGGCAATTACCACGATATACACATGCCTCATTAAAAACTCCATCCGAAAATCCAGTGGAAAAAAACGGTTCTTGTAGAAAAGAGTACATCACATTCTTTAATTGCATTGCATATGTTGTCTTATTAAAAACATTATGTGAGAAACCTTCAAGTAAAAATTCACATAGGAAAAAAGAGTACAACATTTAACCTTCTTGGTTATGTATTCTTCATGAATAGATATTGATCTTCATGATCTGGGCATAAACTTCAGTGTTTTAGCAAATATAATCTACTTGGTCTTTGTAACTCTACTGGTTTACCTTCAAGGTAGATTCAATAAAATATACTGCCCCTTATAAAGTTAAATTTTAAACTTCATTGTTCAAACTACGGTTTTCATAAACCTGTGCTTAATTAATGGTACTATATCTTTCAAATGTTGGCTCATATTCTTCTATAAATTATATGAGTATAAACAAGAGCAATATGCTTCATACATAATGACCACTTATTAGTTGTGCAAAACAAATAAAATTTATTCTTCTTAGTAATAAATCATTTCAGAGGATTATGGGGGTAAATAAGTAATATTCAATATTTTCTAGATAGTGTATCAAACTTATAATATAGTTTGAATACTTATAAGAGCATTAGTCAAACTATTGTTTAATTTAGTGCGTGATACTATTCCTGCTTCAAGCTTTAAGGAATATTTTTCTCTTAAGATCATTTTTCTTCTATGGAAATAATATTTGACATTTAAAATAGGCTTTCTCTTCCCCTAATGCCTATATTAGATCTTTAATAGCGTACTTCAAAAGATATCCCCTATCATAGGCTTAAAATAATTCAAATTTATATATCTCCGACTACGAGCGGAGGCCCATTCATGTATGCTATGATAAAATTTTATGAGAAATCTTCACGCACATATTTAAATACGAGGCTTATTATACATTATATGCAGTGAGCTAGAATACATAAAGTACACTTAAGAATGTTCAGCATTCCTACAAACTTAGGGATGTTCTACCCTTCATTTGCACATATCATAGTTTATAAAATTATTTCATTATCTAGCTTCTTTATTCTTTAACCTAAAAAATTAATCCAAGTACTTGTACTTAAAAAATGGACCATACACTTCAAATGTATAAAATACACAACATTTAAATTCACATTGAATTTCTTCTAGAAATTTCTAATTGTCATTAATACAAAATTCTCTAAATGGCTTTTCTTCAAAAATCTCAAATCATCTAAGTGTGTTATCCACCATCTTAATTCCATAATTATTCATCCCATCAATTGAATCACTTCTTCATTTAGTTAATTTCAGATTAACCAACTCTCCCTGATCTTAGGCTACTTGGCCATAGGCCAATTTATTGTTTATACATGCGATCTATTAAAAGCAAGATATTTCTTAGTTCAACGGGAACTATAGACACAACGTACTAGCTAGCCAATCTAATTCTGAGGAAAGTGCAAGGTAGCTACTAGCTACAAATATAGTTGCAATGCTAATATTCATACAGAAGTAGAGATAGTTGCAGCTCGACGAGAGCACAACATAGTGATACACATTCGAGTGTAATGTGGAATATTGATATTCAATCCAACGTAATAGATAACAACAAAATGCAAAACTACAAGCTTACTTGCAATTAGTGCAATGTAGTAAAAGTTAACTCGGCCGGAAGGGATGCGGCTAGGACTTCAAGTCCTGATACATGCACTTAAAGATAGATTTAAAAAGGCTATGCCTATTAAATATATATTATCCACATTTTCTCATGCCTTCACCCAAAATTCCACCCTTTTTTCATGTCATAATTACTTCAAGTAGTAATCTACTACATGCATCATCTATGAATAATCATTTCTAATGTTCCATAGAATTCAATCATACTTCTAGTATTTATTGGTGTTGGCATGAAATTCATATATCCAGTGTATTATTTAGTGTACAACAACACATTCAAGGTAGGACATAAACTTCTAGTTCTTGGACTAAAGTATTAAATACTTACTTAGTTTTAGGATTATACAATTTTTTTTGGCTAAATTGATCATTCTAAGATCAGTTAATATGCCAGTATACTCTAATTGTTTATGTGCTTCTAGGAAGTTCTATTTCCCTTCTACCTAAATGGTAGTAGTGTATAAAGAACTATAACCTTTATAGTTAACTGAGGCTTCTTTGTGGATAAAATCATTGTAAAAATTATTTAGATAGGCAAATTAGGCAATTGTTTATATGCAAAACATATAAATCTATAATTCATTCCATGCAAGATTAACATATATTACTGCAAGTAAAAAAATTACAACTAAGAACATTAAATGTTTCACATTAGTCTCCAAGTCAATAGATTAACCATTAACTCTTCTATGAGTATATGAAAACCACTTAATTCAACGGGAATTAAAACTTAATGCACCACCACTGCTACTAATACCTCAGGATAGTAATTTCAAAGACAAAACAAATATGTAAGCACATGATTCAAGTTCTTCTTTAAGAAAAATCCTTAAATATTCTAAATAGGGACAATTGGCCACGGGACATGCCAAATGAGCACCGACGGCTGGTGGACACCCCAAATCCGCAAAGTTGCTGTTGGACACTGTGTTTCCACTTTGAATTGCCAAAAGACATCGCATACCGGTTTCACCAAGAAAAAGTGATGATTTGCCCAAATTGCCCTTAGGCCCAACTGGTCACCCATTCCATCCGCCATGATGACGTGTCCTCGTCAATGAGCCGAGATAGCCTCCCAGACGAACCCACCTCGCTGCCGCCCGTCCGAGCTCACGCTGTCGCCCATTGCCGCGCGCTTCTTCCGCCGTCTCGATCGCATTTCATGCCTCCCTATCGGCGCATCGCAGCTCCGCGCCTCTCCTCCTTGGTCGCCGCCGCCGGTGCTAGCTCGTCGCGGCGAGGACGCGGTCGCAGCCGCCAGTGCCTGTGGCCGCCGGACCACCTCTAGCCGAACCGAGCAGCTCTGCGGGAGCACGCTGGCCGCTCCTAAATCGCGCGCGCCGCGCCACCGTTGAGTTGCCACGCATGGCGGCGCTCACGAGCAAAGCTCCGCCATGGCCTCGCGGGCGCACACGACAGCAGCCGCTCCGCCACGGCCTAGCCCGGCCACGACCGACCAGGCCGGTCCGTCGTGGCCTCGCGGGCACGCTGCAGTAGCAGCTCCACCGTGTCCTCGCGGGCAAGACGAAAGCAAAGCTCCGCTGCGGCCTCCTCGCGGCAGTACGCGAGCAAGCAGCGGCTCCACCGCGCCTCGCCGACGGGCGAAAGGCGGCCGGTCCGCCGACGGCCTCATGGGCACATCGCAGCAAGCTGCGGCTCCGCCATGGCTCTCGCCGACAGCAGCAAGCAGCAGCTCAGCTAGCGGGCCTCATGGGCGCCACAGCGTGCGAGCTGCGGCTCCGCTTATGGCCTCATGGGCGATAATAATGCGCCACATCATGGCCGGAAGCCTCCTTCGGCGGGAACAATGGGCTCCGGCGCCTCCTTTGCCCCAAATTCATGACGCCAGCGTCTGCATGAGCTCGCCTTGTTTTGGCGCCCTCTCCTCCGTTTCTCCTTCAACAGCGGAGGCGGCGGCCAAGACAGAGAAAGAAAGGGGAGGAAGAAGAATGGGTCGACCAGGTTGGGCCAAGGGCAATTTGGGCAAATCATCACCTTTCTTGGTCAAACCGGGCGCGGTGTCTTCGGCAATTCAAAGTGGAAACACGATTGTCCAAAGAAAGAACTTTATGGATTTGGGGTGTCCACCAGCCGTCAGTGCTCATTTGGCATGTCCCGTGGCCAATTGTCCCTTCTAAATAATATCCATTCTCTCATGTCTTTACTTCTATACATGACAGGCGGTAACTTCATGCTTTATTCAATAGTTATGATATACAGTCACAAGCCTTCAGATGGTGTAACATATGCAAGCTAACAATATCCTGGTTTATAAAGCTGTCTAAAAAT